CCATTCCGTCTCATCCTGTTCCCAATTCTATCCCATCCCTCATTTCAATCCTCCCTGTCCTGCAGCAGTACAAGACGTCCATGGCTGTCATCTCATTCATGGGAGTCAACTGAATGATCAGTCTTTGCTAAAAGGTTAGATCTAAATTTTGCAAGTACGGGGTGTTGCATTGTGTCTTCAGCCATTATGTACCTCTCATAGGTCATATTTAATTTCCTTATCATTGGGACCTTTTTTCTCAGCTTCAACTTGTAAAAAATGACAATGATTCAGTTTGAATCCAGGTCTTACAGAAGACAAACCCACAAACCAGTGTGGATTATCAGCAATAGGAAACTTAACTGCTTTTTTATTTTTTATTTTTAAATAATACATGGCAAGAGTATCTGATAAGCATTTTGATAAGAATTTTGCCCCACTGACAGCAGAGCAAAAACTTCTCTGTCTCCAGACTCAGAAGTAGCAGTCAATTCATTTTACCGCGGGCTGGAGGAGATATCAAGCTGCAGCAGTGGCAGAAACAGCATCCTGTCACCACTCTTCCACCAGGGCTTCCATCTCCTCTGTCAGCTGTCAGCTCAAAATGTCTCGTACCTGTCAGACCAGAGCTTTCTACTCAGTCTGTCTCTGTCCGCCTTACTACCAACGATATAGAAATGAGGTTTTGCATCATGAGTGGAAATCAAAAGTGGATGTTTATTCTGCAACCTAAACAACAGAAATACTACTGACAAATTAGAAAAGTTTCATTTCCACATACTGTATTTTCACATTGGACTAGTCACCCAATGACAGTAAGCAGTTTTATCTCTGACACATTGCGCTGTCACAAGCATTACAAACTCTGAAAATGCTTTCTGGATGTCTGTTTTGAGATTTTTCCTTTTGCCTTGTGCTCTCTAAGGCAGCTCTGTCATTTTACCCTGGGAGAAGATTGACTCTGTGGCTTGTACCTGCTTGAAGGCTTGACATGGGTTTGCTCTGAGTTTGCCTCTGAGATTTGATGGGACCAATGGACAAACTAATGAGCCCCCGAAGGGCCCACTGATATGCCCCATGGTCTTGTTAGAATGCCAAGATGGGAGAGTTCAAGAGGGGGAGAAGGACTGAAGTATAGGGTGTAGGGGCTGGGGTGGTTGCTAGAGTTAGAGGGCAAGTGAAGGAAGCTACAGGGGGAGAAAGCATGACTTTGGAACTGAGATAACAGTGAAACATGACGAAGTCTACAGCCATGCTAGTGGCTATTTGAGGCTGAAAAATCTGCCTTTTGAGCATAATGCCAGCATACTAAATAGCTCACAGCAAACACGCTGACATCATAACGTGTTGCTAAGATTCACCAAAGTAAGCTGCAGCTGATAATAATGGTCAGAATCCAAATTGTTGGACACATCACATATTTTTGCATCACCAAAAATGTCCTGACTTAATTGTGTGCCAATCCCCTTCATTAATGTTGAGATATTGGACAGGACAGTGAAACGTTTCACCTGTGGATGGTGCAAGTATTTGTCCTCTGGGCACCATGTATATCTGTTAGAAAAGAACGTCTTTCAGCTTCAAAGTGCAATTCATCTATAACAACAATTGTTTATAGATGAAGATATATAATGGTAATTCATACATATGTGACCCGGCACAGTGTTTAGACTGACTTATTTGTCTTTAAAACAGCCAGGTCGTACTAGACCCCAATGACCTCTGTGTCCATGGACACAATCAAATTTGGGGGTTCAAGAAGATCAGTGCGGACGACATACATTCAGTTCAAATTCAATCTTTATCTAATAATGGGAGGCCTGGAACGGCAATCCTAGGAAAAGTACGGATATCACCAAGTTTATCATGATGTTTGTGTGTTTATTTTTCACATTCAGAGTGACTCGGATTCTGTGATCCCTGTTTCACAGAACTCCCTAGACTCTCAGGATAGATGACCCATTAGGATTGGGTGACTAAAACGGCAACTCAATCTAATGCCTCATTTCCTCTCAGAGATGAGACAAGCTTTATGGCTTGACCTCTCTCAAAGGGATCTTATTCTTTCTACAGTGGCCACGTTGTAATCTCACACATCACTGTCTCGCTTAATATGAAAATAATATCAAACACATTAGTGAAGGTATAGGCCTGGAAAATCCAATTTGAAATTCATACTGTGGCATTTGTAGACTTGATCACTAAATGTGTTACGTCACGGGTGGTTTTAAGGGACATTTATCTGGAATAGGACGAAACACATATAAGCAGGGAGTTCTGTGTTGAAAGATGCATTAACTTTCATAGTTTACTACCCGCCTGAGTACAGCATCTTTTCAAATAATGCCAAATACAACATATCATAACACAATAACATATATTTGCTGTCAGGAGAAAACAAGGTATCCAAGATGACTTCAGGAGCTTAAATATATTTGTTCTTGACAGTAGCAGGTCTTATTTGTTATTGTGAGATTTGTAGCCACAGTTGTAGCTGCATTTCTCCATTACCAAATATCTCAAAAAATAGGCAATTGGATGTATTGGAATGAAATTTTGTGCAGACATTCATAGTCCTTATACAGTATTTACTGCATGCCAGCAGCACACGAGCAAGCAAAATCTGTCCTCCACCATGGAAAAGTAATTACTTAAGCTCAATATGAAGTGGACCTTTGTTCAGACTGTTATTTTTCATGAGATAAAAGAGAAAATTCTAATGAGCTGCACAATGTCAACAGACCGGGGTTTTCTGGCCCAAAAACTTTTAATTTGACACTTCCATTGTCTATCATCAAGGGGTGAAAGACAAAGAATGCATATAGCTCCTCAAGGCCTGTGGGTGACTGTGTCTGTCGGTGTGTTCAAAACAGCAGCGGCAGCCAGTAATGTGGAGAGGCTCCTTCTGCTCAGCGGTCTTGAAACAAATGGGTTATTTAGAGCCTACTTCATTTGCACTTGTGGAGAAAGGGCAGAAAGGAAATGAGAACCCCTTGACGGTTCAGTGTTAGACGTATTTAATTAGCCAATTCACTCTGCTTTGCCGCCTCAGTGGGCACAATACTTCTTTGTATTTTTAAAAGTAATTGTCACTTGCAGCATCAGCATTCAGCAGATCCAGGCATGTACTCAAAAAATAGTTCCCTTGGCCTTACTAAGAGATATAAAAATAGACACAGTCCAGCATTATGCTGCCTTGCTGGTCAGATAAACTATGGACACTGATGCCATGTTCAGCAGGCATGAATAGAGGTGAGAGCATCATGAGCTCCAGTGATCAGTCATGGATTTTGGTTTACTCAGGTGACTGAACTCTGCAGGCAGCTTTGATGGTTAATAGGTTTGACTTGTTACACCTTTCTCAACTGATCCACACAGCATTTACCTCAAATATTAAATTACAATTTTTTGTATATAAATCACACAGTATCAAGACTTATTGTCTTAAATCTATGAGGCTACATGCAGCCACAGCAGTGCTTTGATTTAAAAGCTAACTTCATGCTAACGCAACGCTCATACTCACAATTATGTTAATATGCTAGTGTTTAGCAGACCGTAAAGTGAAACCCCTATTCTGAGAACCTCCTTCAAAACCCCACTCACATCCAGCCTTAAAGCAGAGCCTTTCTCTATAATATGCTGTGGCTCACTTGGATAAATATGATAACAATGGTAGTTATTGGAAAGACAAATATCAATCTTCAATATGTTTTTTGCAGCCTTTTCCGAACATTATTTCCATTAACCAGAAATTTCGACGCCACTATGTTTCATTATCTGGGGAACACAGAACATCCAAGCGTTGCTGCGATATTTTTGACTGAAGTATCATAATGGAATGATCAAATGATGAATAAATACACTGCTCAAAAAAATTAAGCGAACATTTAAATCACATAAATCACGTATTCAAGGTGAAAATCTTTACTGTTGTACATTCTATAATTTGTTGAAAACAAAATGATGTAACAACGGTCAATGGAAACCAAAATCATTCACCCATTGAGGGCTGGATTCAAAATAATACGGAAAATCAAAGAAAAAAACTGAAATCACAGGGTGATCCAACTTGCGTGACTTTTATCACAGCTACTCATAATGTTACTCAGTCCTGTGTATGGCCCCAATGTGCCAGTATGCACACCCGAAAACTTCTGGGCATGCTCCTGATGAGTTGGCGGATGGTGTCCTAGGGGATCTCATCCCAGACCTGGATCAGGGCAGCAGTGAGCTCATGCACAGTCTGTGGCGGGATTTGGTAGCGTTGGATGCATTGATACATAACGTCCCATAGGTGCTCAATTGGATTAAGGTCAGGGGGAACGAGAGGGCCAGTCAATGCCTCTGTCATCCAGGAACTGCCGATACTCAGGCCACATGAGGCCGGAAATTGTCCTGCACCAGGAGGCACCCGGGGTACACTGCACCAGCATAGGTTCTGGCAATCTCTCTGAGGATTTCATCCCGATACCTATCAGCAGTCAAGGTACTGTTGGCAATGACATGGAGGTTGTGCGACCCTCAGAGGACAAGCTCAAGCTTTAACTCACTTGCTGTTATACTGTGACAATTAAGTGTTCCCTTCATTTTTTTGAGCAGTGTATTTTACAGTCCCTAAATTAACACTGCAAACTAACTCCTTAAAAACTCATTGCCCGTCTCAAATCAGGATGAAGTCTTGGAATTGATGAGTAAATAAAATTTCAAATTAAAAGGCCCATTTCAGAGTTTAACCACAACATTTCACAGCGATCCATTCTACCACGCACGTTACATAAATACCATCAATCATTGACATGCTCTCCCAAATAAACCCACAACGAGACAAAAATCACCTAGCTCCACAAGCTGTAATTACACTGGAGTGGAGGATGCACTGCTGTACCCTGGGGCTGAAGTGCCTCTATAATAAGCTTTCATCAAGAGCCAAGTCAAGAACAATGTCCCACATATCATCAAGCAGTGCTCTCCAGTAGAGCGTAAAAAGAACGAAAGAGGCGATACTTTCAAAATACAAAAGTTTATTATGTTTTACTTGCCCATGGTAAGAAATATACAAATCAAGAGTTTTGAAATGGACAAACTGTTTGAACTGTACAAATACAGGCATTAGTCACTACACTTATACAAGGATAATTACACATTTGGATCAAACATTGTGAATAAAAAAGTTTGATGAGGACATTTTCTTCAAGTTTGGCATTATCTGGATGTCTGTTAACATAAAACAGCCTGGCAACAACCCATGTTAACATAAATCTGCTTGCAGGAGATGATTCATTGCTAAACATGTGAACAGAGGCAACCAGAAACCACAACTAGACAACTCCAGACAAGTTATTCCACATTAGCTGCATATTCTTCTTCTCTTATTCATTACTGGAAATCTGTGCAGGATATCACCTTGACATACAAACACGTTTCACTTTAAGCCATCTTCTTGAATTCTCCACCAAGAGTGATGAGTAGTCATGACCTCCTGGGTTTTTGACTCTTTCACCTCAGAGTTTCAGGTACGCCACCTAAAAACAGATTAAGAATTTGTTAAATTTATGTGGACACTTTTTTACTGTAAAAAATACAGATTTTGGTTCCACAAAAAACAGATGTACTGCATCTCAATGGTCTGCTGATCGGCACAGCAACACATAATCTGCTGTTAACGTCTTCCAACAATAAGAAACCACAGGTGGTAGAGTTTTAATCAATTTCAAAAACACACATTCAGATAAACAAAGCCCAGAAAACAAATCAGCTCAGCTCTCGCTCCCTCTCTCTCTTCCTCCATCTGCTATTCCTGGGTGTTTGCCTGCTGCAGACAATGGCTGTGCTCCACTGAGGGCTCTATATTGGGATGATGGATGAGGGCATTTGCCTCACTCAAGGCCCTGTCTTCTCCGTTCCCATGCCAATGCCTGCTCACCACTCAAGCGCATCAATGGTAATTCATACAAATGATACAAACGGCAACTAGAGGGGAGCCACTGCTAAAACAATTTAGAGTCCCAGAAAAAGAAGACAAAGGGTGATAAGGAAACAGTGCAATGGTGGTGTAGATGGACGAGAGCGGCCGGCTTGTGGAGGGAGGGTTGCTGGTTTAAGCTGAGGAAATTAAGGAGTGTGTATTGCTGTTATTTACCTTGAAAAGATTCTGTTTAACAAAGAACAAAAATCAAACCTTGTCCTGTGGAGCTGTACAGCAGCTGATACAAAAAGCAGCTGTACTGGGTGTGTCAAGACTGAATGTATAAAACCTCGGCAGAAAGACAGGAATACTGGAGTTGTTCCTGATAAAAGCACCAAAAACCTCATTTAAAAACTTTATTTCATTATAATATCAACTGTGCATTCACATGGTCCCCTTTCCCAAGTTGTGATGTTATTGTGCCAACTTACATGTGTTTATGTGCTTTTAAGATCCAATGTGGGAAAAAAAACATGGACGCTGTGAACAAAATGCGCTGTATTCATGTGTTTATAGTGTCACTGTGACACCTCTTCACAGCATTATAATGAAGACCAAACAAAAAAGGACCTGGTGTGACAGTCATACAGATAAATTAAGAACATATGCACGTTAAAAACGTCTGTATTGGTTAAAAGTAAACAGTTGGGTACTTGTAAGAGAGTTTACAAGAGACACCAAAGAAACTGGTTAAAAAGTTGTTAATTATATCAGCAACTTGGCCACTTATATACCAACAATTTTGCAGACTATCCAAGTCTGACTTGAGATGGCGTTCATGTGAATTTTCCTGGTCTGATATTGGAGAACACACAAATGAATACTAAATAAAAGTAAAAGTCTAACTTAAAGGTCTTCATTTGTCTGAATTCAAGATTTGTTATATATTTATTAGGAGTTCAACACTCAAAAGCCCGGGTAAGCAAAGACCCCATGACTGTCATCACATTGATTCATACTCTGATCAGATCACCTATTCCCAGCTGAGCCCTGCCCACTTCAAACCAGTAACTGATTAACGACAACAAATGTCTTCAGTCTAATCAACAAAATGCCAAACATTGGAAAAATCGTTGGAATAAATCGTTCCAAATCCACTTTAAAAGTAATATACCACTGCATAAATGTGTACAAGTAGAAGCAGAGAGTGAACATTTCTGTCACCTATGATGTAGTGACAGATCAATCAGTAAGAGATTAAAAATATCTAATATTTACTGGAGCATACAGTTCTGTGGCCTTTTGTGAAATATTACCAAGACAGTGTAACAGAGTAAAT